TTATGCTTTCTGTCTAAACGCAGTTAAAGCATTAGCTTTAGGATTTAGATAGGTTTTTAAAGTATACGGGCACTGGAACTACAGAGCAGTTCTGATGATCTGTTTTTCCTTTTCCCCACTTTTGGACTATGTAGAATATGTGAGTATTAAATGACTAGTATTCAAGTCACAGAGGAAAATAGCTACATGGACACAGCATAGAAATCTGCAGAACATATTGGAAATTTCATCTAAGGAATTTTAAAGAAAAGATATATTTTTAGGGCAACTGAAAGAATCACAGTTTCATAGGAATAAAAATAACTGCCCAGTTTCTCAAAAGGCTTATATTTGCCAAAGCTGCACTGAATAACAGAATTACACCAGCAGTGTCTATCCTTTTGTATCATGTTTTGCATGTAACATTTGCAAACTGGAAATTTTCCCAAAGCAAAATGCCAACAAAACATTTTTCTTAAATGAAAGTGTGAATGAAGCTTCCTTGATGGGTACAGCTCAGAGAGCACCATAGGTACAGCTCCCTGACAGCGTGGGAGAGCAGTTTTTCATTTTAGCTCATCAAAATACTCTCTGTAGGGAGCCGTTCTATTCCTGAGTATGACAGCGCTGTGAGAAGGAAAAGAGGTAGTGAATGAGACAGGGAAAAAGAGGAAAAATAAATAAAGCTGATTGTGGTGGGGTAGAAGTATTTCATTCAAGCGGATCACAAAGCTTTTTTATTCAGCAGCTGTTCACTGAGGTGTAGAAAGCTGTAAGTCGGCAAGGTCTTGGAAAATGGTTGGAAAAAAGCTGAACATAATGTATCAGTAAATGTTTAATCAAAAACAGAAGTTTCTTCCGTACTTTTTAATACATATATATATATGTGTGCATATATAAAACAACCCAACAGCACTTTTTAAGTTAAGTTATGGTACGTAAAACTGGTTGTTTCATTGGAAAAGAGTCTATGTGTCTCCTCCTTGATATGCTTCCTCAACCTGTCCTGAGAAACAACTAATGAGATGAATCCCTCTGGTAATCATGGCAATCATTTCACACTGGGAAAAGAACACAAGGCTGCTCAGAACATAACAAGAGGGCAGATTTTTCTCCCCACAATTTCAAACATTTCAGGGCATTGCGAGGAGTACATAAATATTCGATACCACTTACAAAAATCTAAATGTTCAGTATAGACAAAACTTGTTCCCCACCTACAGGTATGCCTTCCAACTTATTTCCTTGTTACTGATTACAAACACACCTACTACAGTTCGTTTTTTAAAGACATCTTCCAAAGACATCTTTCCATTGAAAGGTACTCATCCTCCTTTTCAAAGTAAACTGATGCTTGACACATGTTCGTACAAGGTACAATGTGAATCTAAGAAATCTGAGAAGGAAACAGAGAAAATCAAAGTAACACTGACCAGAAAGACAAGACCAGAGCTCAGCTCTACTGTATCTGGCCCAGCCGTGGCACAGGCGGTCACCAGCCGGGGATGTGGCCTGCTTTTATCTGTCTGAACAACAGTTTTTCCGCTTTTTAAAGTTAGGCTTGCAGCCATGGTTGCCTAAATAATTTGCAAATAAGAAGACTTTGCAGCAGTTCTGAGGACGAGACTGTGCTGCTGATATGGACGTTCACAGCTCTCAGGGTCATCGTAAGAATTAGGTGTGTATTAGTAAGGGATGAATTTGTGCCCCAGGAATTTAAATTAGAGCTGTACCAGTCAATAACCTTACCTTAATGCATCAAACTCTATTCCCGACAAATTGTATCAGCCTGCTACTCCAGTATCTGTTGGCGTTTGGCTCAAAGAACACCCGGCCACCCTCCAGGCAAATGAGTGAACTCGCTTGGATCTGACGGTGGCCCCTGCAGTGCTGACGCTGCGTCTCAATTCGGCAACATTTTAGCAACTCCAGCAGAAATCAGTGGGCTGCGGCAAGGACCTAAAAACGTTACTGGTGAAGACAGGCTGGCCTGCTGGTGGAGACGGGTAGAAAGGCCCCGATGTCGAATGTGCCGTTGCGACGGAGCCCAAGAACAAGCCTTCTCCGGTCATGCAGAAACCTTCACACCACCAGTTTCATTTGTTTCCACCACTTTCGCACAACATGAACGTGTCCCCTTCCCCACCCCCCACCCCCATCCTTTCTGAACGTGTTGACAAAAGGAACGACAAAATAAATAAATAAAGACTTAGCCTCTGCTTCGGGGAAGCCGCCTCTCCAGGTTTCTGCCTTGGCGGTGACCCATCTGCAGCTGGTAGGCATCAGTTTTCACGGCAAATGGTGGGTGCAGAGGGGGCTGGTGGCTCCCCGGCCCTGGCAGCAGGCTCCAGACTCGACTGTCTCTCTTGGCCGGCCGCCCCCGTCTGTCATTGCACCAGGCCCGAGCCGTAGCTGAAGGAGTAGCTGCTGGCCAGCGAGAGGGACGGCTGGTGCTCCTCGCCCTGCTCCAAGGGGTAGCTGGGAAAGGTCTGTGCCCGGGACACCTTTGCTGAGCCGAGGCTGTGACCTGTAGGGCGGGGACATGGACACAAAATATGTAACTAGGCTTTAATTTTAATTTACTTGAAGCCTTTCGCCATGGACATGGACTCTGATGATGCCAAGGTGCCCAGAGAGCAGACATGCCACATCGAGCCTTGCTGGAACTGCAGAGGAGGGTTTTGCCCATGCCCAAAGCAGGCATGGAAAAGGTCGCAGACCCAACTCAGGTGTAATTTTGGGTCAGAATATTTTTTTTTTTAATTGCAGAATATCATATCTGTATATTTGCTACTCTATAAATCTCAGTTATATTTGTTCGTTGGAGCTGATAAAGAACTAATGTACCTTTTTTTTATCTGAAGCACTGCTTAAGTGGTCAACATAATGTCAGTGGTTTCAAAGGGATTTTGTCACACAAATGCCACTTCATGTGCTTACTGTCTTTCAAATAGGATACCTGTTTCTCAGGTAAATACAGTATCACCGTAATTTCAAAATGAACTGGAGGTGGGATATGGCCACACAGTAGAACACTGGTTGAGATTAGGATGTGGGAGATCTTTCCTCAGAGGGGCTTGTGGATCTTGGGTAACTATGACTTGCTCACTTGCAATCAACGAGATGGGAAACCATTTGTGAAAAGCCATTAAAAAGCTGATGACCAAACTCAGAAGTGACTCCTATGACCTGATTCTGTAACATGATCATTTGTTTATCTCAAAATTCTCTTTTGAAATTGAGATTTAATTAGTAACAAAAAGTTAATTTCCAAAGTGTGTATCTTCATGCAACGTATATTCTCAGTTTGTTTCAAAGATATATTGAAGCCTGGATTTAAAATGATTTCAGATAAGGCTTTTAAAAATTTCTTCAATACATGTATTATATGTAGGAATGCAAAATCATATTTTTCCTTCGACCACAGATCTATTAAATAATAGCTGTAACAGAGTATAGACTCAATCACTGAAGACCTCAGCTCATGTTGAAACATTTCAAAAAAGCTTGCAACTTTCTAGACTGCCCTGGTACTGCTGGAACCATGAATGACGTTCACCAGATTTGGCACAACTTCATACTAACTTGTATTTGGAAAAGTTTGGCTATAGCATGTTACTGACTGCTTCGTGAAAAAAAATCGTGATCCCCCTGAAGATGAGGCTATTAGAGCAATACTGGGACCAAAAGAGAAAAAAAACCCCCACCTAAATGAAAAATAGTATAAAAGGCATGTCTCAGTGACACTGGAGACAACATAACTGGAGACTGGATTCCCAATAGCACGTTAAAGATCATATAAAGCCTTTTCATTGCACATCCAAGCAAGAGGAATTTTTTATGTGTATTTTTACTATTCATTCACTGAGTTAAATTGACATTGGTTATCAAAACCTGACTGAGATGCCAGGTTTAAATGTTTTCTGCTTCAAGAAGCTTTTGCATCAAACTGAATCAAAATGCGTCATGGCTATGAGGTCTAAGCCACAAAACAAGAGCTCTGATAATATGCTGTTTGAGAATAGTCTTAAATGTTTTTATTGCTTTGACCAACTTTTAACCATAGTATTAAGTGAGGCCTTCATACATTTTTACTTTTATTTGGGAATTGCATCATAATTACTGTTAGATTTTTAAAAAAAATTAATGCAAATGTAAACACAGAAAGTTGCATGATTGTAGGTTTTGATTTTGTGTTCAAAATCTGGCATTTTTCCTTCTGTGGATGTAAGGTCTTGTTTTCTTTACACCCAGAGGCTAGAATCATATATATTTTAAAGGCCATAGGGGACGGCAAATCCAGCCATGTGATTTGTTATGTAAAATTGTTCTCTTTCTTACCAATAAAGATAAATAAAATAAGTCAAGGAACCATTTTCCTCATTTCCCTTTATGTATTTTGTCAAAAAAATGTAAAACATACAAATAGTCCCTGTGACAATGAGCAGGAATAAAGAGACTTCCCAACCAAGGGAGTTCCCTGAACTCAAGCCTATTTGTATCATGTGCTGTATCTGATATAATTAATTTCAAATTAACTTCTGTAAAATAGTGAGGCTTTAATACAGTGATGAAGAGTGCCCCAACTGAACTAATTTCTAGCCAAGGTATCGAGGCAGTCTCTTAGAATATAGAAGATGAATTTGAACATATTAAGGTTAAAAAGGAAATTAAATTCACGTCTTGCATTTCCTTGATGTATGCCTCGGCTGCTAGCACATCTCTTACTGTTCTTTAAAAGAAAATTTATAGCTGTTAAGTCTCACAAAAGGGCTGTAACCAAATGGGTTAATGAGGATAAGTGACTTCTCCCCTGACTGCTAGGATATGTAGTCAGAAAGAGAGACAGTCTCAGATCCAGAAGATTAAAAGACACTCTCAACAGAGCCAAAGGGTCTGAGACACCTGGTTGAGCCTGAAACTGAATAGCATGACATCAATCTTTGGAAATAATAACAAAAAGAATAGATAACATAGTTGATTCAAATGAAATTAGAAAGCTATGGGTAATAGAGGGTTTATGACTTTAGGAAATAATGGCTCTATGCAATATGTTTACTTTCAACTGATTTTTTTTTAAAAAAACAACGAACTCCATTAATATATTTGAATAAAATGAATCAAAAAATAATGGTGGCAAAATAATGAAATAGTCCAATGGTTGGCTTAAGGCTTCTCAGTAGTAAATTTCCAAACTTTAAGTTTTTGTTCAGCTTTTTTTTTAAATTTAGTGTATCCCATAGTGGAAATTCTAAATTAAAATTGATTTTTTAATTTGCATTCCTACTGAATAATACTGAATATAGTAAAATACATTTTCATACTCATACAGCTGATAGCCTTATGACGTCTTAGGTACTGCAGCATCTCCACAGTTACGCTTTATGTCAGCAGTAAGGATTTTGAAACTAAAGATACAGGAAAAGTTTTTGTAGTAAAGAAATTAAGTTCCACAACTTTCTAAGCATCCTGCTTCAATAGTATTTTCTGTGTCATATTTGGGTCTTAAAAGGCTGAGAGAGAACAAGAAGAATGCTGTTTGTGGATTTTGCAGCTCTTTGGTACCACAGCTGTTTTCAAGAACACAAAACTAACTCTTCTCTACTGTTATTCTGAAGTCAGCAGAAGAGGAATTTGATTAACACACACTTTGTGACCTGAAGACACCAGCAGAATTGGAGGAGCTTTTTCCTTTGGCTTACATGTTTTACTGGGGTTTGTTTTGTTTTGTTTTTTCTGTTCTAGGAGAGGACCTTGGAAAGATATTAGTTACCCCACTTTATCCTTTATTTAAATTTACTCTCAGGATCATACAATGCAATGAAGCTGTAGTCCAAAACAATTAAGTATGAAAGATCCATCAAGATAATTTAATGTAACCTAGCAAATTGCAGCAAAATTAGATTTTTCCTATCTTAATTATGTTGGAAGCGGAGGCATTATACGCAAGAATCTTATTTCATGACATGGTGCTTATTTATAACAATTCTTTAGAGGAAAAAACCAATGGTTTCCTAGTAACAACAGTGACTGATGTACATATAAGTAGATCGATCACAACTTCTAAGAGAAAACTTGCAGTACTCAGCTAAATGAAAAGAAAAAAAAAATCCAAAAAGAAAAAAAAGAACAGAGGAGATCCAGGGATAAGCTTTAAAAGCTCCCTTATTTCTGCTTCTTGGGAGATGTTTCTCTCTCTTTTGGATTCAGAATTCAAATTCTTAACCAGAAGGCAGCTGCCAACCGTCTTTCTTTTCTAAATGAAAAACAAGGTCATGCTTTTCTTTTCCAACACAAGAATTCAAGGGACTTATCTGATATTCTTCGGTTAGCACACTCATCTATGATGTACAAGTCCTGTGTTAATATTCCCTTCTGCCTGTGTGTAAGGTTCAACATTACACTTTCTGTAATGGAAAAATCAGCAGAAAATGTTTCCTTTCTCCTCTTTGCGCACATTGCTGTTCGCCGTCCCTCAGTTGTGCCATTGCGACTGAAAGGCTGCTGTGTAGACTGAAGCACTTTGGTCATCCGGTTTGCAAGAGCCCTACAAATCATCGTACTGGCACAGCCGAGGAGCAGGAACAAGCAGCCAAGGGTAAGAGACGGCAGGGTTTTTTTCTCAGACCGTCTGTGGTGCCAGATAGTTTCTTTAGGGAACGATGACCTGTGAGCAATAGGCAACTAAATGCAGGCAAAGGCTATGGCCACCAGACTATCTCTTCTCTGATGCAGGATCACTTTTGAAACCCTGTGACTAAGCTTTTCTCATACAAGATCAAATTTAAGTGTGTATTTTTGCAGTACAATGATTAAAAATTAGTAGAGCCAGAGACTCCTGTGTTTCATCTCTGTTGCAGGCCTTTTAAGTACCTCATATTCCATAGTCATTAGGTAAAATAAAGAAGCAGATTTTTGCAACTGCACAGCAAGCTTTCATCTGGGAATTCTTAACCTCTGAACAGATGACTTTACAAATCAAATGATGCTCTTCTAATGAAGTTTTACTTTTCTAGGTAATAATAATAATTAACTTTATTTTTGAAAACCAAAGTTGGCACTTCCATTCCCAAGATTATGAGCACAAAATTGAAGTCATTAAATTAAAGCCAATTAGATATCTTTATTAGTATTACATTTTGTATATATGTACTTGGGGATGCTCTGA